TAGTTAAACAACAGTCACTAAGAGAAATAAGTCATCTTCAGGGACACAAATGCATCTGGCACCTACTTATGGGGAAGCTGAAGGAATTTTGTGGTCAAATTCCCTGCCAGCTCTGTAGGGATAGATTACAAAAGGGTCACATCAGTGTAGTAAAGCATCTTTTTCATTTTATTTCAGCAATCATGAAAGTTCAAGCTGGACGAGGGAAAGAATTTCTGAAAGGAGGAAGAGGAAAAAACAAAAATCAGGGGGACAAAGAAGAGAAATGCTGTTCAGACAGAATCGGAGTCCCACTTCTGCCAAAAAACCTTCTTGTAGTCCAACCTTGGCTGGTAGGGGAGTCAGGTTTTCAAGAGTGGAAACTTTCAAGGGCTATCTCTGTTTAGATTTCATTATTTCTAAATATTGCACTTCTGTATTTAAGAAACAATAGAATATCAATCAGTGCGGTGCTAGGTTCCTGGCAAGCTGGTAGGAGTGAAACTCATAAGGTGAGGCTTGCACTGAGCAGGCTGGTCACTCTTTCACATGCTGTCTGTTCAAACTGCAGAGAAACATCTTTGAGCCTGCAGCCACCAAAATCCGTGGGTCGTGAGGGACATGACCAAAATACTCCAACAGCAAGTCCTGTCACAGAGCTAATTGGTGTCTCTGGGGAGCATTATGCCACTAATTTCCCCACGGCTTCCCTCAGAGCCACTACAGGATGAAATACACATACAGTGATGGCTTAAATGGGAGAAAAAAAGCACCAAAAAAAATTCTGTCTTTGTACTAAAAAAGCTCCTTTCCATACCAAGAATCTCAATTCATAACAAGAGACCTCCAGGTGGCCTCCTACATGAAGCTGAACCCAAAGAGGAGCCCAGGCTGCCTCCTGGGATCTAGCAGCGTGAGCAAGCACCGTTGAGCCTTTGCATGCTCTGAATGCAGCAGCTCCCTTAGGTTTTAAGCAGCATTTTACTGCTGTGATGCAATTCAGGTTTGCTCACAGTGGTGCAAAATGAGTGACCAGCAGCTTTCACCAAGAGAGGGCAAAGACTTTTTCTAGCTGTGTGCTCTGGCTCCTGCTTCCTCCCCGATATTGGTGTCAGATTGCTCTCCCATTTTCACATAGATGAGATATGACCTCTGGCTGGGGATGTGTTATTAAAAATGCACGCTTGGAAACACACGTGCACCTAATTAGCAGAATGTCACAGATGCCAACATAGTGTGAAGCACCAGGAAGGGTGGCATGCACCACAGAAATGCTATTGAAATGGCTTTGGGTTTACTGAGCTATTGCTGCTCTTCCCTACTTGCAGGAAGGTACGTGCCCTCTCCACCAAAAAATGACCTCCTCAGCTTACAGAAAAACAATGTAAATTCCTTTCTTCTTTGCCACCATCATGAGAAATTGCCATTCACGCACCTGAGAGGCCACCTCTCATCCCTTATTTTTGTAGGCCCCTGCCCTTCTGTCACCTTCCTCGGCAGAGGCTGTTTTCAGGCAGCGGTTGAGATGGGGACAGCTTCCTTGCCCTGGTGGGGATCCTTTTCTGCCTCCTCAGTTCAATTTACCATTCAAAACTCAGCATTTGCAACTCATGTTGCCCAGTGTGGGGCCAGCTGACACCTCTGCGACAGTCACCCTGCATCCCTGCATAGCCCTGCTCTCCCAGTTTCCCCTCATTTGTGTGCCATTTCATTTCTGTGAGCCCTTGATGCTATTTTGTTTTCTGCATGGCCTGTCAGTGGCATGATAAACCGGTTGTGCAATAGTTTGTCCTAGCATCTCCCCAGATACCATGCTGCACCTGAGGAATTGCAGATGAGCCAGCCTCTTCCCTCCTACCCATCCATTTTTACAAGCAGGTACTACGTGTGCCCTTCTCCAGTCCTCAGGGTCCAGCTTCATCCTCATGTCGGTGAAGATGAATCACCTTGAGTTCAGGCTGTGCTGTTTGGCTGCTTCTTAATGTACTCAGGGGTGACTTTCATCAGGCCCTGTTGACTTGAATAAATCTCCCTCATTCCTTCATCACTTTTTCCCCTATTCCAGCCTGCTCTCTATTCCCTTTTTTTTGTTTAAGTATCTGGTCACAGTTTATGCATTGCATGCTATTTATGCATTTCAGCCCATGAAAAATACATGAAGAGTCCCTCACTCACTCTCCCCATGGCCTCATAAATCTTGCATTGCTTTCTGCACAATGGCTTGGCTTCACGGGGTAATGGGGAGCAGCCTCCCTGCTGCTCTGCCCTGGGGCTGGGGCACCCTCTGGGCATGCCAGTGCTATAGGTTCAGATCTTACTGGGCCTGCAGGGAGGGAACCCTCCCTGCAGAGAACCCTCTGGCCCCACTTTTAGGCTATTGGATAGAAAATCTGAGAAAGTAAGTCTTGCAGAAATTGCTTAATTCCTTAACTGTCATTGAAAATTGAGCATTCCAGGACCCTATAGCTCTAAACCTACCTGAATAGAGGCTGTAGTGAGGTAAGAGTCAGCTGCTTCTTCCAAGACAAGAGATAATGGTCTCAAGTTGAGCCATGGGAGGTTCAGGTTGGGTACTAAGAAAAATTTATTCTGTGAAAGAGTAGTCAAGTGCTGGAGTGGGCTGCCCAGGAAGGTGGTGAAATCACTGTCCCTGGAAGTGTTCGAGAAACATGGAGATGTGGCACTGACAGACATGGTTAGTGGGCATGGTGGAGGTGGTTGACAGACTGGATGATCTTAGAGGTCTTTTCCAACCTTAGTGATTCTGTGACTTTGCAGACAGCTTTCATCCTTACAAGCAAGGCTTGGTAGCAGTAGTGAGTTTTGTCCATTCACCATTTGTTTAGGAGAATCTTCTTCTCCCACCTGCTCATGTTGGCTGAGAAGGGGGAACAAGAGGAAGTTGTTTGCATGGATGCATCTCCATGAGGGAACCATCCCTATTTCTACAGCAGCTGAAATCAGGTACCTATCAAAACAAAGCCATGTTAAACACACTTGTTCCTCAAGATCTTTGCCTGCCTTATTTCCTTTTTAAATTTAAATTGCTAGAGGTGATGAGCAGTTTTATTTTCCCCGAGTGCCCAGCCTCGGCTGCTTGAAGCCTCCCCATCACCTGCAAAGCTATTTTGCTTTCAGCCTCTTTAAAGAAGTTCCCCCATTCCTGTGCTTTCCTCTTAGCAGTCCCTTAGCTAAGGCCTGGGTGGGCTGGACTTCTTAAGAAAATACTGCATTAGGACTGTCATGTCGATACTGGCATTTTATCTGAGTTGCTGACAGCATCAGTTTGTTAACACAACTGACCTTGTGCCCCTTTTAGTACACAAAGTGTTGCTCCTCTACCATCCCAGCCTACTGTGCCATTCTTCGCCATGAACACCAGGCTACAAAAGCATCACCCACATCATCCACTGTCTGCTGCGATTTCCCATGAGGCCAGGAGAATCAGCACGCAGCTCTTGTCCTACATCAGCAGTTTCCTTGCAGAAGCCTGAAGCCAACAATTCTCCAGGCCCTCTTCAAGCCCACCACTGCCTCCATTACATCTTTTCCAAGCCATTCTTCACTGCTGCAAGAGGAAGGAGAACCCGACGCTTCATGGGAGGCTCAAAATGGCATGTGTGATCCACAACTGGATGGAGCCATTATTCAAAGATTTTTTATTTTTATGAAAAAATATATAAATTTTCATATCTTACACTACTAAAAACATGTACACAAACAAAATGCACAGAGAGCATCCAGGGAGGGGAAAAAGGAAGGGATAAATACAGCAACACTACGGTCTCCTATAAGTTGAAACGGTTGAAAGAGCTGAGACAAATGCTGCAGCATCAACAGCACTGGATATACAGACTCCTGACCTACACGGCCTAAGGAATTGCAACAAACATTAATAAAGGATCAGAAACTAAGTGCTACTCTTAGACTGCTACTGATGTATCACACACGCCTTAATGACTAATTTGAAGACTGCAGCAGTCCAAGGAGTCACAATTTCTTGACAACTGGGAATTCTACATTTTTATATTCAATACTGAATAGACAACTTTTTTTTTTCTTTAACCTTTGCTTTTTGTTCTTCTTGCTGTTAATATGTAGAAGAAAATTAAAAAAAAAAAGAAAAACTTAAAAAAAATTACTTTTAAAAAATCATCTTCCTTTTTAAGGTTAGGTAATTTAGCCAAATGATAAATAAACAATGAATGGAGGTCAGTCTAAACAAGCCATGCTTGGGGAGACTTCCTTCTCCCAAGATGAAAAACTGTTTTGAAAAGAGCCTCTTCACCTCGCAAGCCCTTTGAAATACTTCCCCGCAATTAGCAGCAAAACATACTGGAAAAAAGTATGCAATGTATCAACAGCAGCACTGGCGAGTTGAAAAAGCAAACTGCTTTGACTTACAGTAGGCAGGAAATCCACCTACAGCTCCAATTTTACTGATTAATGAAAACCACTGCCTCGTCGTGGTTTCCAAGTCCAGCACACAACTGGCAAGGTCAGCTAACTACCGTCCTTATCTCCCCCTGTGCTTACAAAGAGCATAACCAAAAAAGTATTACTGTGATCTCCTACTGCACACCAATATATACATTCATCCATTCACAATGTCTGATTTCGGGCTATACATTTTTCATTTGCCACTCCTTTTGAAGGCAAGTTCTTTCTAGTTGTGCTTCGTGGTGCCCCGGCTCAGCAGGTGAAAACAGCAGCAGCCTGGCCAAGCTCGCAGGCAGAAAGTTTCAAAGAGGTGCTGCCAGATCCCCCTGAGTCCTTCGAAAACGCCATGGTAAAAAGGGAGCTTTACTTTATAACCCTAGATCTGCGTAAGAGGCCCGAACAAATGTTCCAGTTGCCCCAGAGACTGAGTACTTGCAGTTCTCTCTTCACTGGTAGCTCCGTCGTCGGAACTCTGGAATTTGAGTGTGAAAGTAGAAGCTGTAACTTTTGGCCCGTATTTGTTAAAATGTCTTTATTTTCAGTTCAGAGCCTATAGTAAAGAGATCTGTAGCATGAACAGCTCTTGAAATAAATATAAAAGACCATTTATTTATTTATTCAGGGAACTGAGAGTAGGTACCCTAATTACAGATGCAGTCTGCTTTAAGAACAGTTCATTTTCCACAGGTCCCTCTGAAGAGTATTCTGAAGACTGCTCCAGTATCTGGCAGTTACTACAGTGTATCAGGAACATCATTCTCACCTCCATGCGGTGCACCCCAGCAGCACAGTGTATGCCTTTAAAACCCCACAAACGGCGATGGGATTTTCTTGTAGAAATATGGAAAAAAGAACAAACCAAATCCTTACACAGAGCCAGCAATTAATGAACGACCAAAGAAAATGAGCAGAAAGGCTAAGTGCTGAAATTTGCTACTAAAATCTCTCTCGGTGCAGCTGATGGATGCGTGTGGAAACTGAACGATACTTCCCAAAGAAATGAGTTGTTGTTTCTGTCTTCCTACAGGTTATTTTACAAAGTGCTACAGGCAGAGAGGCACAAATAATCCCAAGACAGCTCTGCTGACAGCCCTAATAATGTTATTTATTATTTGACAAATCTCTGCTATGTGCCGAAATTGTTATGTCTTGATTCCCTCTCCCCCACCTTTTGTGGCCTGGTGGCTGACAAAATGAAGCAACAGGATGAGAAATCACACAATCAAGGTTTGTCAGACCTTCCCCTAATGCCTGGCTGTGTGCAACTCAGCTCCGTCCCGTTTCTTGTGCTGCTAGGCGAGCTCAATGTTCCCATGAGCAGCAAGTGCCGAGGCAGCAGAGTGAGAGTGGCAAGCATGTGCTCTGCCCTCCCACATACCTACTTCTGCTCTTTTAGACCTTGCCTGTGCCTCAGAAAAAGAGCAGTTCTCCGAGGAGAACTGGACATCACTAAGCATGCAGGCTGTTTCAAAATGGACAAATTTTGCTTCAAGAAGCCCCACTGAAAGAAAGCGAGCCCTGCTGCTGAGAAAGAAAAAGAAAAACACAGCAAACCCTCTCTTCCTACACCTTCCCCCACCCCCTTTCTTTAGAAACTGTTATTTGGATTAAATCTCATCAAAGGGCTTTGAGGAAATTGAAGAAAGACTTTTAAAACCAGCTGGAGTGGTGTTCAAAACATGGTTGTGCAGGGGAGAAGGAAAATGGCTGCCTTTTGGCATTAGAGGAGGTGCTCAGGCTCTACTCTGCAGTGCCAGGGGACAAGGGGAAACACAGTAAGTCAATACGTCGATGTTATTATCAAGGAAGATGCTATCCAACACCTCTAAGGAAGCAATATATCTACAGTAAACACTTGCCATCTGCCGAGCAATTCTTTAATCCTTATCTTTACCAAAGCTTCACAAAACCACCTATGAATACCGAATTAACTGCGCTGATAACTCCCATCTACAGCTAAAGGAGGACAGCCCCAAGTTGTTTCTTGGTGAGATTTTGAGGACTCAGCATCTCACTGCTGCCTTCAGGTCCCCCTGTAAATATCATCTTCAAATTGCAGTGTACACATTGGCCCAGATTTACAACCAAGTACTGAAGTAAGCAGCGTCAGATTCAGACAGATCATCTTCACCATGGAACGCCAGTGCCATGACCATGTTGGGCTGCTCTCTTTTATGCTCCTCTCTGTGCTCTGCCCCACAGTGGCCAGGTCTGTACCCATTTTTGTAAGATGAATCAGTGTTTTGCAGCTGACTTGTCCAACTTTCCCAAGGGACGTGAAGGGTGTCTAAGCTGAAAATACCCACAGAACAATATGGAAAAGTGCAGTTCCCAAAATAATTTCCTCCCTCACTTTCCTGGCCACAGTTTTGGAAAATGCTGTGAAATCTCCATGCTGGATGATAATGGAGATGCATCCACATTGCACCTTCAGGACTTGACTCTCATAAGGAGAAGAAGAACAGCAAAATCCCTTTCTTTAGCTAACAACACATGGTGATTTCTCTCCTGGCCTTGAAGGGTGCGTGTTCACAGCAAGAAAAGCAAGGGAGCAGCTCAAAGGCTACCTTGAGACAGTACTGGGTTTAAACACTGGTGCAGATGGATTCCACACGCATCTTCTCTTTCCAGGAAGGGGCACACCAGGAGCAAATTATCAAACACAAAAGAAAACAGATGCCGCAATGCTGCTGAGGGATGATGAGAACTGGATGTTTTAACTCCCATTTTACTTTTCCTCTTCGGGACATCCCCAGCCCACAACAGAGGTGTTCTTTATTTAAGCAGACTCCTTCCAGCTCATATATATAATCAAAACACCTGAAAGCTTTATACGTTGCTCAAACCAAACAGCAGCAAAAATACAAAGCATAATGGTTAACACAAAAAGAACACAAAATGAAGCAAAAGAGGGAAAAAGAACAAAACATTGAGAAAGCCCCAATCTTGTACCTGATGTCTAGCAAACTGTACAGTATATACATCATAAAGTATTATCCTCACAGAAGAGCAAACTAAAAGAACTTTGTAACACAGAGAGAAAAAATATACACCCTGTATTGTATTTGCCATTGAGCAAGCAACATGTTTATACACTAGTCTCTATAACTTAATGCTGTGTAACAGCATTTTTTAAATTTACAAAACAAAATATCTATCCAGAAATAATCTAATCATATTGCTCTTCAATACACTTCTGTAGACAAGTAAGACTTGAAGTAAACTTCAGTAAACCGCAGCTTGTGTGAGCCCACAAATGGCTGCAAAACTTCTCTAGTCAAGTAAGTCCTTGGAAGTATTAACATGTGCTGCTGCTGTAACTCAGTATTTAAAGGTGATATATATATATATAGATATATATATATATCTATATATCACCTTTATATATATATATCCCATGTATAGACAACGTGGTGGGAAGGCTTGCTGTTGTCATCGCTGAAGCGCAAGAAATTGGTTAACCTCATGTACAGTAGATCCATTTCCATGTTCCATGCATGTTACATTTACTTCATGAAAATGAGGACACAAATAGGAAGAAAATGAAAACTTCAGTCAAACACTGCTTTATAAATGCTGTGGCAGAAGCCAGCGTCCTTCAGTTACAGAAACCACTGAATTTCCCTTTTTTTCTTCTTTAGTCAAAATAAATCTCAGAGCTAATATAGAAAGTGCAGGACCGACCACTCGAGGAAGTGACTTAAAAACCGAGTTACAATGGCACCATCCCATTCACCAACTGGACCTTCATCTCTTGAAGGCTGTTCATTATCTTCTTCTGGTGACCAACAAGTGTCACTCCCAGCCGCCTCAAATCCCTGTGGGAGAAAGCAGATGTTGGTTCCAGAGATTGTTCAGGCACATGCTGCCACACACACTACGCACCGCACGCGTCGATGCTGCTGCCAGCGCCTACCTCTTACCACCTGTGGTTCCCAAAGCCCTTTAAATAAGGAGGCACATTTAATTTTCCCAGTTTTTTTAAATGGCTGACAACGTCTCAGAGAGGTGACATGGCTTGACCAAGCTCATCTTGGTGACTAAGGAGAAAAGCTTGACAGCAAAGTGTTAGCACTGGCTTCAGCAAGAGACTCCACTGCATGTACGAAGTCCTATTCCAAGAGAAAACCTGCGTAAGAAAATGTGTGTTGCAGTTTCCTCTTCTCCTGGGAGAGACTGGTATTTGATCTTGGATATGAGCAGCGAGGAGTAAGATCAATCCATGCTTCCTTCCTCTTCAGATGAGGCAAAGCCAAAGATACACAAACCACAATCCTATAGCCTGTTCCTAGAGAGAGCTGAACGGCAAAAGCCTCAAGCACAGCTACCACCATTACGGCCTCCTAAAGTCAATATGAATTCATAACACAGCTCCCCTCTGGGCCTTTGCAAATCTTGCTTTAAACCCAGGCTGGACTATTTAGCGTGTGAGAATTCTAAAAGATAAAAGCATTTGTGTTGAGTCTGTCTAGTAGGGGTGCCATTACAAGAAGGTGTAACGTATGACTGGGAAGAACAGTTGTCTTCTCAGAAATTTAGTCCTCTAAAATGTAGGTATCTAGATTAAGCTAATCGCCAAGTTTCTGTGGGAACTGTGAGAGAAGCACTCCATGAGATGATTTATCCCATTCAAAGTGTGGGATGATGCTCCCTGGAGATATTACAGTAGGACCTTGGGTGATTACTTTTAATGACAGCTAAAAGCCAGGTGGGGTGCCTCCCACACAGTGGGTTATAGCAGTGCAATTATACTGATTTCATTAAAGAATGAAAATTGATAACAAAGAAATTGTAGGAATGACATTTGGAAGAAGGATCAAGACAGGTGCCTATGTGTTTCCAATATGAAACATAGATTGTTAGGGAAGCAACTTGACTTAGAGGGGACACAATGCTTCATCTGAAGACTTACAACACAGAATTATGAGCTCCTTGTTTTTTACCTTCCAGCTGGACTGCATATAAGATGCTTTCAAAGAAGGGCTCTACTGCTTTGCCAATAAAGGTGTGAATCCCAGTGCTGCTGACACTAGTTTGTGGAGAGTATGCAGAAACACACAAGCCATTTAGGAGAAGGCACTCCATTGAAAACTAGCGGGATGTAAGATCACCAGACACTCAGAATTGCAGCTCCCTGGCCCCTCCTGCTGTTCCCAGGAGCCCAGCTGCCACCTGAGACACACTGGCAAACCTGGCCTACAGTACACAGATGACTGCAGGTGCACGCGTGCAATGAGCACCAGAATTCTATTACATAATGCATGTGAGCTACCCATCAAGGTGTCTCTCAGCACATTTATATTCTGGACAGAAACTCCTGTGTAAATACAACCATCCACATCCAAAAATTACACAGATGAACACTTCAGAAAAACATTGTTTCTAATAAAAAGCAATCCCAAGTGAAGGTTGATGTGTTAACACAAAAACCAGTTGAAGCCAAAAGCTAGATCTGTTCTCCATAGGATTGTCACACTTTTCAGCCTTTTTATTTGGAAAATCCCAGATTTTCTGCTCGAGGCTAAACACTACATTCCATCATCATACCCTTTTTCAGTGAAGCATCTCTCCGATGCATACTGGAAATCACAACGCAATGGGTGCGGAGTAACAGAGGTCCATGAGACACATCAGCACACTCCTTACCTGGAAGAAAAGGCTGCAGCATCGGCAAAGGTATCTAAACTTCTCGGGGGGACATGCTTTCATTTCTACCTCCACTGAATTGTGAAACTAGTTCAGCAAGCAATCTTAATAATGAAGGAAAATGTAGTAATACTATTGTTCCATGCAATTTATTTTATGTACACAGCACAGTTGGAAGTTCACACCAAAGATAAAAAAAAAACAGTATAGGACCAGAATTTTAGAAGAGCCAACATCCATCTTCCCCCCCTGCTGAATGCTGCTCTGCTGGTGCTCTTTGAAAGTTCAGCTATTTTTTTCAGGTATCTAAAAGTGCAAACTGAGCTCTTTTGAAAATCCAGCAACACATATTTCACATATGTACTGTTTCTGGTAATATCTCTCTGCTCTTGCATGTTATGCAGAAAAGCTAGCCTGAAACTATCAGCAAGGCATGTATGTATTTGCATTTCATACACAGCTCAGTCAGGCTAGTAAGAAAAGGTCTGTGCTCTCTGGCGCAGTAGCAGGCTTCCTCATCAAAAAGATCCAAGCACCACCGTCAGGTTTTCAGGGTACTCACTACAGAGTCTTTTTTCCTCATAGCATCCTGCATAACCCAATATCCTTGAGCAGTGCCTCATTGATTTAAGAGAGGCACAGACAGAGAGAAGAAAAACGAGTTTCTAGTTTCAATCCATTAGTTGCTCACCAGGGGATCTAATCTATTTTTTTGACTATTGAATACTCCTGAATGCAGAGCCACTGGCCAAAAGTGTGGGGACTCCTCAGAGAGGGGAAAAAGTGCTGTATGGTCTTTTAGCTCTGCAAAGACTGACCAAAAGCCTAATCCAGAAAACAGCTCCTGAGCCAGATGCTCACCAAATATAGAATTGTCAGCTTTATTCAAAAGCTACCTTGCACTTTGCAAAGCCAGCAATAAAACTTTTTTTTTGGGGGTGGGGGGGGGAAAGCTTCTAGAATGCAGGAGCTTTAATTCCCTTTTTCAAGTGTGACTTGCACCCTGTTGCAGCCTCCCAAACATCCAGTGTCAAAGCACTGGACTAAAAGCAGCAGAAGACAGAAGCCAATTTTAAACAAAATTGGGGGAACATAACAGCCAGTTTGGGGACAAAAAAGATTGCTTTGCTGAAGGGCTGCAACACAACTGTCCTAAAAATTCAGTCCAGAGCTCGTTGTTCCATTTTACCACAGTTAACTGGCAATTTCACTGGGCTCAGCTTCCCAGAGATGTATGGAAGCATATCTTCATGGGCTCTGCAAATATCTGGTGGATGACAGGAGAAGTGCAATTCCCTGCAAGAAAAGGCACATCTGAGACCTTGCAAATGGCACTTGCAGTCAGCATCCAGGCTACACCTTGCCATGCAAGTGACTCTACCCCAGGTGCTGGGTTTGTGTGTGCTGATGTGGCAGCTGCATGAGCATTTCTTGAGGCTGTGAAGATAGGAGTCCCATGTGTCATATGAAGCAGGTCTCCCTGCTTCCAAATACTTGACTTGCAGCAACAAGACAACTTTCAGTCCTGCTGCAGGAATAAGTTCCCCCTTCTCATTTCTTTCTTTCATGTAATGTGGAAAATGGAAATACACAGGAATTCAAATCACGTGCTGACACAGTACTACAAGGGCAACTTAAGTTAACCAGAAAGCCAAGGAAATAAAGGGGAAAATAGGTGTCGGCCCATTCCAAACAGCCTATAAACAGCTGCACACTTGCCATGCTCTTACCATGGCCTTACTTGAAAGTCCAGCTGCAATGTGCCAGTGACAATACAGTACTCTCTTAAATGCAATACTCTCCATTTGAAATAGTTGAATTCATGGTCTCCACGTTGTAAGAAATATATTTAAAACATTTTATTTACAAATAGAACTACTTATACACCATGGACCAATTTGTCAAACACAGTGTAGACTAGGACTGGATTGCCACATAAAATACAACACTCCTCACCACTCCATTACTCATGCAACCAAAAGGGCCAGGTTCCTGAAATATCTCCATGGCTGGAAGCCATCAGCCTACCAGAGATTACTTTGCATTTCATCTCCCACCCCAGCCATATCGCAGCACTCTCCTTCACACAGTGCAGTTCTACACTGGCCCATGCAGACTGACACTACTCACAGAGTTAGCTGCCAGTTTGAAAGAGGGGAAAGAATAACCTCAAAGACCTTTAGAAGATACTAGGGAGAGAGGAATCCACTTGCAAGGGACCTCTGCACGAGATTAGGATCTTTTTTCTTTTAAGAGTTCATCTGCTCTTACTTGTTACTCCCATCCTATTTGATTATGACATGAGAATGGGTTTGTTCACAAGTGTATGCGGTACCACTATCCAGAACTGAGATTTTAGGTTAAGAATAAGTATCTAGAGCAGGTGAACTCTTAAATGTTCTTCATCCAGTATAACTTTTAATAAATAATTTATTTTATTTTATAAGAAAAAAATACAATGCAAAGCAACACATCACATATTATTACAAATATTCAGAGTTCTTCATCTAATAACAAACAACAGGGTGTCCTGAGATTCGGTGAGCACAGATCTTTCAAAAGGTGTAAGTATGCAGTCCACATTTTGTTAGTAATTGGTCCAGTCAAGTATCAGACTGAAACTCATGTCATGGATCTATCTATTCTTGAGTATTGTCCTGGTAAAGTTAATCTTGCAGTGGATTGAAAGAGCTCCAGACACACTCAAAGTCACTAGGTGGTCCACAAGTTTAAAGAGCAGGTCTGGTCCACTGGAAAGGTTTCCTTCAAGTCTGATATCCAGTTGGAAAGAGGGGGTGGAGGGTGAGGCTCCACTTTTCACAAGGTGATTCATCCCTTTGCAAGAATTAGAGCTAAATGTAGAAATCACTCTTTGTTTGAAAACATACATTTTCAGGTCTTTGCTTAAGCAAGCAGAGCTCAGGACTTGGGGCGATATTATTCACAATTTATAGCTTTTAAAAGTTTCATCTTCAATAATTTGTCACTAGCACTACTCTTTTCTGGAATAAATGCATTAAGCATGACTTTGAATGAAGCAAGGTGGTAACTGGGATTTTGATTTGCATGCTAGGTGGGATTTTCAAAGAGTGCTGAGCATCTACCATCTCAACCAGGTCCCCTAAGGAGGACACAAGCTGATCGCCTACAGACGCCAGTTCTGTCAGAATGCCATGGCCATCCCCTCTCTTACAGTACTAGTAGCTTTGCCCAGGAGACTTTAGAAATTCTTTACATTCATCGTATTTTTTCAGTGTTTTCTGGCGGTGATTAACCAGTTCTCCCTTCTTCACCTAATTTCCATGTATTTCCTAAGCAGTTTCAATTTGGGGAATATCACTTTGGATGGTATTTGAAGGCAACCTCTTAAATTGTAAAGAATCTTTTACTCATGTCATTTGGGGAAAGAAAGCTAGTTGCAAATGTTCACATGTTCTTTTCACCTGATCCCCCCAAGTCCCAGCTCTGGAATATATTGAACAGTTGCCTCTATTAAAACAAAAAAAAAACAACAAAAAAAAAACAAAAAAACCCAACAAACAAGCAAGGAACATTTAGACTGAATTCTCATTTGCAGAGTACAAAATGTTTTGTTGTTTCCTCTTACGGGGAGAAAAATTAAAACCTCCAGAAACAACAAAACCCCAAATATATTAACCTTTAAAGAACTTTGCTTGTTCCAATGTTTATTTCTTCCCCATAGCACCTCTGGAGAACACGTGAAGCTTTCATTTGAGCCCCCACAGAAACCAACATTTCTCTCCCTTTCTTTGTTGATTTCAAAGGCAATCTGCCAGTTTACATCAGAGCACACAGTTCAGCTCTTAAGTATAGGATAGCATTCCTCTGATGTCCCTGAAGTCTAAGGTGGTTTCTCCTTTTTTAATGGCTGAGAGTCAGGTCTTCTGTCTTTTGTTTTTTTAAATGTCTGTGAGTAATCACAGAGGTCTTGATTTGGATGGCTTGTTAGCTTTTAATGTACCTTCCACAGTTTTCCCCTAAATAGAGTCAAATGGGGTCAAGATATCTTCACTAAGCCATAATTGCAATGCAAAGGTGCATGAGGTGTTCAAGAACCAAGCCTGGCTTATGCATCTCAAGGCAGCTGGGGGTGGGGTATTACTCACTAGCATGGATAACTAGCTAGCTGGAGCCAATTTTGAAAAGTTGATATAATTACCTTGAAATCAGCAGAACTTATCTGCATTTGCCAGGTAGGAATCTGATGGAGTTATGTGGTGCAGTGATGCTTTTTTATATAAAGTGTGGTGCAGCTGCACATGAAAGGAGCTTCACAGGCCATTTTAGGAGGCAAAATAGTAGTTTATGCATGTTCTTCACAGTATGATCAGATAAGCTGGCGATGACCACACCAACAGTCTCAGGGTTTGTTTTCAGCCTTATGAGAATGAACAAATCCAGGCTAAGCACTGGGGACCCATAATTTCTTGTATTACCTAGCATTAAACTAGCCAGAATACAGCCAACAGAGCTACCTGTGGGATACACCTTCATGGACAGTTCTGTTTCCCACAAGACTGCTTCACGCAGCACCTCGCCTAATACATGAGGTTGGAGCTTTTCAACTTCTTGCCTTTTTCATTTTCAAGAGAAGTGAGTCAGTGAAATGCAAGATGGATTAATAAGATGTCTACTTTCATCTTCAAAAAAAATCCCCCAAGGCTCCCAGACATCAACTCTTCTGTATTACTCTACTCTACTGTAAAAGCTGGAATAAAGCTGAAGCTCAGAACATGTCATCTTCACTGAGGACCAGTAAAGGACCAGAGTAGAATAACGTTTGTGCTACAGAGAAAATCCTGGGATCCTGTGGAAGGGGTTTAGATACGGTCTGCAGCTGGTGAGGATTCCAGCATCTTTGAGAGCTATAATGATACTTAAAACAACTTGCCTTTTTTGGCTAGAACTATACAGAAAATGATTTTCTTGACTCACTGTCAATCTGAAAAACCATTCTGAAATACCTTTGGGGCAGCCTGAAAAGACTTAAGGGGAGGGTTACTTTTGAAATTTTTGAAACACCAAACAGTAAATATAGAGGAATGTTCACATTTACAGTCAAATTAAACAGATCGTTTCACAATCTGAACTACTACATCCAAGAAAAAGGTAGAAATCTGGCACAGCTGTAATATTCCCTTCTATTATTTATGAATCACAGATGTGCAAACCGGGAAATACTTATTTATGTCATATCACAATGCACTGCACTTTGAGTAATTTGGGGGAGATGCAGTCATTCCTCCGAAAGGTGAGCTTAGCAATAGTTTTGTCAGTGTGCTAAGAAGAGGGATGCTAAGACCGTATAAAGCTACATAGGTGGTATTTGGAGTTGTACTCAACATTTTCTCTGATCAAACCAAGCCTTTCACTTTTGATCTAAGCATTTCTTTCAGAACACTTGAAATTACATAAAGTTTTAAAAAGGAACAAACGGGAAATTTTTGTGAAACTTAATTTTGTTCTTTGGTATGACTAATACAGCCAAACAGCAAGAAGCCTATGATGTATTTCAGACATTCTGCAGATTCTACTAGGACTTCCTTTGATTCTAAGATTAAGGTGTCACGTAAGAGGGGAATGTTCCCCTTTTGCTTTTTTCTTACGTTACTGCCTCTTCCTATCCTCATCACCCATCCTCTGGCTAGATCTTCCTGTCTGCCTTGGCGATGGACCTCTTCCTCAGTCAAAGTGTGCAGATGAGTCCAAATGGAGTACCAAATGCATGTAACAGTCTCAGGAATCCGAAAAAGGAACTAAAAAGAAATCTAAGGATCCTGGTTCCTTAGTCACTAGAAAAGACTTAGTTTCTCACTTGGGGGTTCATGCGAATATCTGAAATTAGGCTGGATTAGCCCAGGAGTAAGGGACAAATACTGGTCAAGTGGAGGAAGTAAATAAAATCAGGGAGAGGAGAGATGTTTTTGCACTCCATCCATACGTGACTTGTCCGATTAAACTGAAACTGAACTGTATGGGGGTGGTACCAACCTGCAACATGTGCAAAGGAACTCTCACCCTGAAGGGTGAGCTCCACAGCAAGCCCTGTGGCAGACAGGAAAAATGCTGTGGTTCTGTAGGGCACTGGGATTTTTCCTGTTGTTCCTAATCCTCTGCACTGATTCTGCCAGTGCACTGGCTATCTGCATGTGGTCAGAAGACTCACTACCTCTTCCAAAGAAGCACCAAGGATGGAGCATAATCCTTGCCATTCTGCCCCAATGTCTGCAACAACCTAAACTCAAGTTAATCCAGCTGCAAAAGCAGGCTTTGAGGCAAGTTTGATTAAGTGTCAGGAAGAAACTACAGACAATTACAGAAGACCAGCAATTAAAGGTGGAGCACAGCAAACCAACAGCCTCGAGGCATTTATCAAATCATTTCAGTGCTGTCACCCTGACTGCAGATATATCCAGGTGCAAAAACCAGCAGCGCACACAGGAGGAAGAGTCTTGGCCAGGGACCTGTCCCCTAGAGCCACTAGTTTGTCGATGGTATTCAGTTGGCATCGGCTGTACCTACACTTATTTCTATTGCAGTAATGTTGAGAACTATTTCCATGCTTTACTGTGATTGTGTATTTAGCCACATCTTGATCAACTCTTCAAGCAGCTAATGCAGTGTAAAGCCAGTATCCCTCAGAGGGGCCTCTATCTCCTATACATTTACTAGTATGCTTAGTTTTTTTATTTGTTGATAACCCTGAGTAATAAACCGCTGCTATGATGAGAGGACAGCTTGTCAATTATTCAAACTCAAGCATTAATTTCTGTGAGTAAAGATGCCAAAGTACTGGCTTGCCAGCATAGTGACAGTAAGTTTTAGTCTCGTCTGCACTTATTATCATCAATACAGATGCTAAAAGAGAAACTGATGACTGCAAACAAAGGGAAACAGCTTCCTTTCTTCAGTCTCCTCTCTACATGTTTTTGAAGTTTGTTTCCCTCCCCATCTGCAATACAAGAGCTGAAAATGATCTGGAAACTACTCACTCCAGGGTCACCTGAGCCACGGAATCCATCGAGCTGTATCCATTCTCCATGAAAATCTCGGTGTATCGGCCCATTTTGATGGCTTCCAGCCACTCACCCACTGACCTGTAGGCACCGCTCCCCACTGGACTGTGTTCTACCAACAAATTTGATACTCTAAAGACAAAAGGAAAGACAGAGAGGCAAAAAGAATCAGTATCGAGATGTACCCAACATGACACAATTGCTCTTCTGTGGCATTTTGAGTAATTGCTGAATCCCAATTCCTCCTGTGGAGCTGTAATTTTTCTGACTCATTGGAAGTTGTTGACTTTACCCTGGAAGTGCAGTGCAACTTAAATGAGGAGGAGAGAACCACACGCTTTTTGAGCTCTGTGTGGGGTTTACCGAAGTTTTCAGTTTTATCTCAGTTTTCAGAGAGAGTAGCGTAAAAGCTTTCAAAACTACCAACCATCTTAGTCAGCGGAATGAAAAGATCATGAAGAATTAGTTAGGCAAGACTTCACACATATCGACCACACAGTTTCACCTCTAACCTCACCTGCTTTTGTGTTGCTGCCATTGCTGCTGCATGCTGCAAGTGGGAAGTATCTGCTTCAACAGAGGAGCAGATTAGTGTCCATCCCCGTTACCTCTCACACACAAGCAGGCTCCTTTTCCTCTCCCTGTCACTCTTACTTCAAGGTCTTCAGTTTCACTCTTCCTGCTCTGTTTTTCTCCTCTTTCTTTAAAGCTCATAATTAACTTAAAACAACCCAGAGACTGGAAACCGAAACCCAAATTACATTTCCCAGCAGCAGCCATCAGCGGCAGGCTGTTGTTAACACTTCAAGGGCTGCTCCCGCAGAGTCAGGCCGGGATTTTGTATGCAGGCAGCATCCAGGAAGCCCTGCAGAGAGCAGCAATGCTCCAACCATGCCTCAGCCTCCTGGCGAGGCTCACGTTTAGTCCTGAAACCAGAGTGAGAATCCTGGCTCCTGCAGCCTCGCTCGGACCTCTGTGCAGCAACGGTTATGTCATGCACAGAAGAAGCAATTCAGGCAAAAAACAACCCTTCCCCACTCTAAAACCTGGCACAAGTAACCTGTGTTGTGAGCAGGCCCACCACGTTACTGATGATGCGCAGAGCACAAAGAGACTTCTTCAAGGTCAGCCAGGAAAGCAACCAGATTTCTCCCATTTTGTAAACCAAGACGCACAATTAACATAAGCCTTGCATAAAGATTATTACCCACAGGTAAAAACATTTGCTGGGTCAGCCTCTGACTGTGAGAATTACGCTTGAAAGATTTTCAACTCAAAGGAGAGCTAAGATTTTATATTGTTATAACACTTCAGGAATCTTCATATATTTTATGATCACATTAGTATTATTTGTTTATTTAATAGCAATGCTGAAGGGTCCAATAAAATGTGAATACTTGCAGTACCAAGAGCATAATGGCTTCCCATAACATTTTATACACATGAGGAATTCAAAACTCCTAAGTAATCATAATGAGAAGTGGATTTTCAACACTAATGTCAGGAGGCACCTACTGATATGCATGCACTGTAATGTAGAGAGTGACTTCCTCCCTTATTTGCATTAATGAGAATTTCCATAAAGAATACATTACATATATTAAAAAAATCCTTTACAGCTGCTGCACTTCGAAATTATGATTCATTTGGAATTACTATGGTCTGGGCATGGAAATCTATGATTATAGAAACACAGCCCCACAGCCTGGCTGTTCACATACTCCATCCACACAGAGTATACCCACAGTACCTTTAAAAAGGAGAAGTTCAGAATTGCAAGGGCCTGTCAGTGGAATAAAATATCAGCAAAGTGTTTAACAGCCCAAGGAGATGGTATACTGCCTATTTTAATCTTTTCTAGCGTAACAGGTTGATATAACAGTACATATTGCCATGTAACAGGCCTTGAAAATGACTGTTCTGAACTGAAAATTAAAGAAAACCATCACATTTTGTGCTATCATAAACATGTTCCTGCAGGAACTTTGCTGGGGCTAACATTACAACTAATTGCTAATAAGAGTCTTTCTTCAATTTCGTCTTCATATGGCTAATGATGCACGTGAAACAGCCTGAATAATCAGATCTATTTTGTATTTAAAAATGAAACTATGTAAAGTTTTCATGTTTCTTCTCTTCCAGTGCATGAGATGGAGATGTCATGCACTGGGACATGTGAAGCAGCAATGATTTATATACATTACTCCTTCATGAATATGCGAGAGACTGAGTGATTAGTAACACAGATGGCTCAGAAGTAATACCTGTGTGCTTACACTGAAATTACAAAAGCCTCTCCAAGACTCCAGTATGGTGGAGAGACCGCTACTAAAGCTCACTAAAAAAATCTCTCCACTTTTTTTTCTAAAGTGGAGTTTTATTTCTTGACACATACTTCCCTTATTTGTAGCTGTGTAGATGCTGAAATTCACACTGAATTGCAGACTGGCTGCCTCATTCACTTAACATGGTTTTAGCAAACTGCTTGTGTACAACTCTTTGGGAACCACAGAAATCCCCTCACAATTACAAAAACTGTTGGAACTGGAGGTGGCAGCTAACACACCTGGGAATGCTTCTTGAAGAGGCACTTAGACATCCATGAGCTTTGCACATCCAACGTTTTCCCAAGAGACTTTATCATTCGTATTACAAAGATAAAGTCAACAGGCAGATAATTTGAGCAGTGTTTACTATCTACTTCACAGACTCAGTCTTGCTCTCACTCACCTTGGGGTAGAGAGCAGGTAGCTTTATCATAGACCTATAAATACTGCTGAAACTGCAGTTTCTGAAAGGCAGGCCATAGTAATTTTCTTTGCTGCAATAGCGCTACATTTATAGAGTTACTGAATTGCTGACTGGCCTGCCAATTTAAACAGAGGAAGTTGGGTTTGGGAAAACTCTCCTGGACATAATGAAACTGGAGGAACATCCACCTGCAGATGCATGTGGGCTAAAGAGAAATTCAACACCAGGAATCGGTATTCAGACAAGAATCTTTCTTTGAGAAATTGCTCTGGCCTGATTTTGTACCTGCTCGATGCATTAACCAACGTCTTCAAGCTGCTTGGGTTACGGATGAGCTTGTCCAACATGCTGACAATTTCATCAAACTTGGGCCTGCTGTTGCGGTCCTTCTGCCAGCAGTCAAGCATCAGCTGGTAGAGAGCAGCAGGGCAGTCCATGGGACTTGGCAGGCGATAGCCTTCCTCCACGGCTTTAATCACCTATGGGAAGTAAAACACAAGGCTGATGGGTTGCTTTTCTTCCTCTTACCTTTTTCCCCGAATAAGAGAACTCTGGGTCCAGCAATACGTTCACATACAAGCAATCCCCCCCCACTCTCTGCATATAGGAGACAAATCAAGTAAACTCCATTATCTTTCACTGCTTTTATGGCATAGGTTGAATAATTGATTTTTAGTCACTGCAAACTGAGTCTAGAAATCCAATGTAACCAGAAGGTCAGATCTCAGGTTGCACTTGTTCAAAGCTCAGCTGAGGTCTGTAGGTCACACCAGAAAACTAGAGACTGTTCTTGTCTGCCAACAGCAGCCTATGGGGCTTTCTGGCATTGTCTTGGAGTACAGTGATTTTGTTTATTCAGATGTTGGCTTCTTTTTAAATGAAAAGGCATGTGCTCAACCACAGATTTGTATTACAGTAATAAAAGTCTGACTGTATTTCAAAAGAGACTTTGAATGCTAATTGATGGATGGATTCGAGGCAGAGGCAGAACCATCTCATATATCATTCAATACTGTCTGGGTTTAGTCGTTTCTTACTGTGTCCATGTTTCTGCCAGGAATTTAAAATGTCAGCCTAAGAGTATGTAAATTAAAAACAGGGGAAGTTTGTTGCACTGATTTCAAATACAAACCATCTATGGTTCTATATTCAAAACAAGTGGTAAGCACATGTGCTGCCTGCACTCTGGAAAGGCAGAAATGAACAAATGAGGGCAGAACTGAATAAAGCAACTTGTTTTCCTTCATTCTGGATAGACTTATAGCAGGGCTCCTAGCCCAACAGTTCCCATTTTGAACTCTTAACAGCATTCAGAATACAGCTCTCATTTCAGGCCACAAGGGTCTGCGACCATTCAGCAGAGTCCTAGCAGCCCATCTTCACACCCTCTACTCCCAGGACTTACTGCCCAACAGAAGTTGGAAGCAGCTACAGCTGATGGTGAATACTGTGTGGAAAACCACAACGCTTCACTGCTTGACTCCAAGGACTGCCTCAAATACCATTCATTCTAGGCACTCTCTCACAATTTGAAAACATCTCGTGATTAAAAAAAAATGCTCTATGGTTAGCACTGCACTTCTGGAGGCTCCAAAATTTAGGACCGCATGCATCATTTTCAAATCATCCTTCACCACAGAGCTTTTTGCCAAGTGGAATAGTCCCAGGCATGAGTGGGGCTGGCTGAGCAGCTTTAGCAGAAACCTGGAACCCTCTAAGGACATATGTAGCAGAGAAGAAATGTTTTGAGGCTTTGTAGTCTTCTCAAAGGATACCGAGCAGTCTGAATATCTGGTCCACAACACCTGCAATCCTTCTGTGCTCTGACAGAGGCTTATCTGAGATTTCATCTGTGGGTGGAGCAGTTGCACCACTCTCCACCCAACCTTTGTCTATAAAGTGATCTTGTCTACTGCTGGACTATTATATTGGCTTTTGCTCACAGCATCAAACACCAGGCCCACCATACTGCACTATCTGCATTGTCTATTCTTCACATCATGTATTTCAGCTGGTCCCTGGCCACGGATTTACAACTGCCTTATAAAAAATCTCTGTGTGGCACAGCCATGAGAACATTATTTGCTGTATTTATAACAATAATGAATTATCCTCCAGCTGTAGCAGAAAGAAAATAGTAGCAGGACAGGTAGCAGACCATCTGGCACCAGCTCAGAATATCTGAACTACATCTGCAATGGGGTTATGCATGCTTTATATTCCGGGCAGTAACATCACAATCAATAGCATTAACTCAATTTACAGGATGTCATTCATTCTGGTGATACAATGTAAATGGTATCAAAATACTGCAAGGGCTAGGAGCTGAACTCTGCTCTTGCATCTGAAGGTGCCTTCAGGCTCTGGCTGTAACAGAAGTAAAAGAATGATGCAATAAAGACTAAGTCATTTGTAGCAACTGCAATACTTAGGAAAAAAAAAAAAAAAGGCAGATTTGCCATTTTGTTCATGGGTAAGTACTGCTTTTTAAGACTTGAAGAGCTAAAACTTGCATACGTGAGGAGACATGTTTGTCCTTTACCTTTTCTGGAGAAGCATGCATTTAAGGATGTGGTGATGACACTAGGGATTTCTGGAAGGTGAAAACCTGAGATAGTCTATCCCAGTAAACCAAGTAGCATTCATAGTTCCCTGTTTTCACAAAATTGCTACTGGGAAGACTAAAAAGCAACCACTACGATCATTTAACTCACCATCCTAAAACAGGTCACAAAATTCTCCTCAATTCCTGTATTGAGCTTTCTCTTGTGGTTCAAAACTTATTTTTAGAAATCCACGCAGTCATCAGCACGACTTTAAAACGTGGTTTGTAGCACTGAAGTTACAACACTGCCTGCTTTGTGGCACTGCACCCCCTCTACCACAGGGGAAACCAGCCTAGCTGAAACATGATGAGAACTGTTTTGCTCACTGCTGACTGGGCCTGCATGTAATATGCTTTAATTACAAACCATACAAAAAACTTGTGCAATGGAGTCTGAAATTCATGTGAGCAGAGCTCACCAGACTTCCACCAATGCTACATATAACACTGATGATTCTTCTGCCAACACAAGCAGGGAGGAAAAAAGAAAGACAGTGGGCCTTTAGGGGATGAAAGAAGGAGGAATAAATACAAGGAGAAATATTTTTCTGCCACAGCACTGAGTTAAATTAGATTAATAGATTAAATAGACTGCCACTGTTGAGGCATTTACTGTCCACACATACTACAGGGAGAAAGAAAACCTAAGCAAAGCCTGATCAGGAACTGACGCTCGTGAACATCTCACCAGTGTTCTGCTTTCTACTGTCAAAGAAAGCACTTCCCCAGCCGAGTCTCCCCAGGTGTGAAATTCACCTTATGCCCAGAGGATGGACAAGGTGGTATTTATTTTAATTCAACAGTTCTGCAAATTGTTGGTGCTGACAGTGTTACTAACCTGACAAGGGATTCCTCTGGCCACAGAGCGTTATCTGGCACCAGCCCGAATCTCAAGCTGACATTTACTGAACATCTGTACTACACTGGTGCATCAGCATTAGATAGTTAAAGTGCTTAATGTGACTGAAAAAGCTCAGCTCTAAATTGCTGCATTCTCCATCCAGGGTACAGAAGAAAGCCCCTGTATTTGATTGAGATAAATCCCTGTGTAGATACATGTTGCTTTACCAAACTCCCTACAAACATGACAACCTCAGTGGTGTAGAAGTGGTGGGGCATTTGTGCCAAACAACACTTGTCCCCCTGGCAAGCAGCGTGGTGTGACCATCTCAAAGGCACCACTTGTTTTCTTGCCTGGGCTGGAGGTGAGCAGTCAAGACAAGACAGCATGACAGGCAGTCACATTCACCGATGGCAGAGGTACACAGAGGCACACAGACAAAACAGAGGAGGAAGAGACACAGACAGCTCAGCCAGAGCCTCTGCTGCCAGCAAAACCGCAGAATGTCAAAGGGACAGAGACACTGATCAAAATGAATTAAAATACATATATGTAGGAAAAAAAGGATGAAGCATGAGGTGTTGCACTTGTGACTGAGGAAGCTCATGGCAGAGCAAGGTCATTTGTCCACTCAGCCAGTGGCAGCACTTCCCCAGGTGGCTGGGACGCAAAATCAAAGCAGGAGTGATGAGGAAGGGCTCTTTGCCATATGCAGAATGGCTGCATTTTCCTCCATCATGGAGTTGCTTTGGGGCCTGGTGTGCTGCTGCATGGTGCCCCCTTCCTCATGCACTAGATGGCATCCTGAGAGACTTCCAGATCTCATACTTCTCAGAGATGTGAATAGGAAGAAGCAGCCCAGGAAAATCTGGCAAATTCAGGCTTAATTTATTTATTTATTTTTTTTTTTAGCTTTAGACAGATGTGTTTGGTGAACTCAGGATACAAAGAAGTCTTGCAGTAAGAACACTAGATCCTTACACAGTGTGAGACAAGAACTAGAGTAAAGAGGGTGGCAGTGTCCCCAGGAATGTTTGGGGGTGCATCTGAGAGTGACCCTGAAGTCAAAGCCTTGAGGAGGCACTGGGGCCCAGGAGCAAAGTCACACACCTTAAGCACAAGCAAATGAGCACAAGAAAACGAGAGCTTGCATTTACACAAACTTACAGACTTTCACAATTAGAGAAAGCAAAGGATGAGAGGGGAAAAAAAAAAAAAAAAAAGGTGCAGAACCATGTTCTCTAGATCAGCATTGCAAGGGTGACTGAGATGCAGCTCTCCATGCTGCCATTTTGGACTGCTATCACTTGATCAAATCACACAGCTTTTGTGCAGCAAAACAAGCCCTGACCACGATTCTCCTGAGTTTGTGCTTTACATGGCAGCAGGGGTTTGAACGCACAATTGAAATGCTGCCAGTTATCAGCATCTATCCCCTGGCAGACCTTTGTCATTAAGCAGAGCAGGGACAGGCTCCAGCTCTAACAGCATTAGTGAAGCTCCAGCAGACTTCCAGGGGAACCAGGCTTGCCTCTGTGCAGACACATTTCCCTCTGCACACAGCCTGCTCTGGGCTGCTGCAAAAACAGAGCATCCCATCAAATGCTTAGGTCTACCATGGGGAGAAAGACATTTTTACAGTGGCTGTCCTCCTCTGTCCCCATCCCGCCTCTCTGATTGCAGAATGAAGACTAAGCCCTCAAGTCCTCCCACCCAGCAGCTCCCACACATGCTTACATCTTGGTTGGTCATTTCCCAGTAAGGTCTCTCGCCATAGGACATCACTTCCCACATCACAATGCCGTAGCTCCACACATCGCTGGCTGATGTGAATTTGCGGAAGGCGATTGCTTCAGGTGCCGTCCATCGGATGGGGATCTTCCCTCCCTGCAATGAGAAGGGAGAAAAAAAATACAGATTGCAGAAGAGGGCAGACAGCATGCAAAAGAGGACAAAACAGCACTCCTTAGAGCACTGAGGGATGTTATTTTCTCTCTGGAAAGAGACATCGAATTTTAAAGTAAATCTGTTTGACAGCATGGGGCCCCTTTCCACATTATCTCAGCCCATAAGCATTTGTAGGCTGCCTACTAATTGGCTGTCCTGAAGGTTTGTTGTTTGAATGCTGTTTGAATGCTGGGACATGTATAGGATCAACATCTCAATTATGTTGCACTGGTTGGTAGGGGAATACTGTTCCTCCATTTCTAAGAGCGAGCGGGGGAGGAACAGACAGCTCTGAAGCCGGGGAAGACTTTGATCTAATGAGAGCTTCATGCAAATTGCTGCGGAAGTAATGCCTTTTTTTTCCCCTCAATGCAGTCCCAATCCTGCAGAGAGATCTGCACAGTGGGCACAGAAATCTGTGCGTGCAAAGACCTGCCTGCCTGGCCTTGGCAGCAGGACTGAAAACGATGTCACCTCCTACAGATCACTGTGGTTTATCTTTTATTGCATTTATTTTACAAATACTATTACTCTAGCATAGGGAGAGCTGTCAAATGCGCTTTGGTATTTCCTTTTCCCCTTTTTGATTTTAGGAATCAAACTTCAGACCAGCTCTGAGAGAAGGAAGGGGGGAAGGGGAGTTTGGATTAAGAAATACTTTTCTCATTGGGTTTAAAGACTTGTCTCCCTTGATATATATCAAAATATATCTTACTGTGAAGTCCTTTCCTCTCTGTGCTGAGCTGCATGTTGGAAAATCTTCCTGAATGTCCCCTAATGCTGTTTGTTATTAGAAAAAGGTAGAATTTGGAACACATTTAAAAAGCAAATTAGAAAAGTTCCTTCTTCCAATAATTATTTATTCACAGGCTTATCAGTGCATGCCTTAAGTGAAGGGCCAGATTCTCAGCAGTGCCAATTAGCACACAGCAGCACGTTGCAGTCACAGCAGAGCTGGATGAGAGCCCTTCAGCCCGCAGGGAAGCTCTGGTCCAGCAGTGCTGCGAGCCCTATCATGGGGTTGTGACTGCCAAGGACTGAAAAGCCTCTCCCAAATAGCAAAATCTTTGCAAGACCGGGGAATGTGACCCAGGGAACTCCCATCACAATACCCATGGAAAAATGTGTTAATAGGTAATGTTGGAGCGTGCCAACCTGACACACCATTGGAGGCTTTCTCCGGGGCCTGTGATGCTGGGGATGGGTGCTGCCCATCCCTATCTGTGGCACTGGGGCCACGTGGGCCTCACACAGGTGAACTGATGCCCAGAAGGGATGGTTCCTGCCACAGGCTGGAGAAGTCCTTTCTCAAGTTTGGGAAAATTACAGTTGATGAGGAAGGTGGTAAACATATCTCATTAGCAACAGACATGATGTGCTTGTCAGTTTTAAGAGTTAAACTGTCCAGGAGACCACCATGAGTGCCACTCTTGGTCCTTTTGACCTTAGATATTCACTCAAAGATGGCAAAATACAGCTGGGAGTGCAGCAGCTTTACAAAGTTCGTTATCTGACTCTGGTGCCCAACACAAAACCTCTAAGTTACAAGACTGCCATTAAGTTCTGCTTTATTTGGCCATTCTCACTTCTAAGGTGCAGACTGATCCAATACTGATTAGCTGATAACATCTGGTCAAACACTCATGTCTAGTTTAGGGGCGGTGGATTTGTAGACACCTCTTTGCCGAACAGCCTGACTACCAAAATGTGTCAGGAAGCACATTTTTCTTGGACTCAGTCTGTTCAGTATTCCCATATGTGGTGCTCAGGGACATGATCTAGCAGGGGGTTCTTAGAGTTAGGGTAGTATGGTTAGGTTGTGGTTGGACTTGATGATCTTGAGGGTCTTTTCCAACCTGAGCAATTCTATGATTACAGAATCACAGAATTGTAGGGGTTGGAAGGGACCTCCAGAGATCATCGAGTCCAACCCCCCTGCCAAATCAAGTTCCCTACACTCATTCTCACAAGTAGGTGTCCAGGTGGGTCTTGAATATCTCCAGAGAAGGAGACTCCACAACTTCCCTGGGCAGCCTGTTCCAGCGCTCCATCACCCTCACTGTAAAGAAGTTCTTGCACACATTTGTGCAAAACTTCCTATGCTGCACTTTCTGGCTGTTTCCCCTTGTCCTGTCTCCACACATTGCTGAAAAAGAGTCTGGCCTCACCACTCTGCCCCCCACACCTTAGATATTTATAGACCTGGATCAGCTCCCCTCTCAGTCTTCTTTTCTCAAGGCTAAACAGACCCAGATCACTTAGCCTTTCTTCACAGGGGAGACGCTCCAGGCCCTACACCATCTTTGTGGACCTCCGCTGGACTCTTTCCGAGAGATCCCTGTCTTTTTTGTACTGGGGAGCCCAGAACTGGACACAGTACTCCAGATGAGGCCTTACCAGGGCAGAGTAGAGGGGGAAAATCACCTTCCTCAACCTGCTGGCCATGCTCTTTTTAATGCCATTGGCCTTTTTGGCCACAAGGGCACATTGCTGGCTCTGGGACAACCTGTTGTCCACCATGACACCCAAGTCCCTCTCTGCAGAGCTCCTCTCCAACCTGTACCAATGCATGCAATTATTCCTCCCTAGATGCAAGACTCTACACTTGCTTTTGTTAAACTTCATCTGGTTTCTTACTGCTCAGCTCTCCAGCCTGTCCAGGTCTCGCTGAATGGCAGCACAGCCTTCAGGTGTGTCAGCCAATCCTCCCAGCTTTGTATCACCAGCAAACTTGCTGAGTGTGGCCACTATCCCCTCATCAAGGTCATTGATGAAGATGTTGAACAAGACTGGACCCAGCAGCAACTCCTGAGGAACACCGCTGGTTACAGGTCTCCAACCAGACTCTGCACCACCAATGACGACCCTCTGTGCTCTGCCAGTCAGCCAGTTCTCAACCCACCTCACTGTCTATCCTACACTTCCTCAGCTTTGTTATAAGGATGTCGTGGGAGACAGTATCAAATGCCTTGCTGAAATCAAGGTAGACTACATCCACTGCTCAGTTCTGTGCTGATTCTATGATATAACTCACCCTGGTAGTGTACGCTGCTTCAGGATCATCTTCTAGGACTCTGGAGAGGCCAAAGTCGGACACCTTGCAGACTAAGTTGCTGTTGATGAGGATATTCCTGGCAGCAAGGTCTCTGTGTACGTAACCCATGTCAGACAGGTACTTCATCCCTGATGCGATGCCTCGCAGCATCCCGACCAGCTGAATGACCGTGAACTGCCCATCGTTCTTCTGCAAAGGGAAGGAGACATTTGATCAGATGAAAGTCTCTGCACCCTCAGCATTGCATGTGCACAAATAAAAATGCAAAGGCGAGTCTCTAGGGAAGAAAAACAGGGAAATTAATAATTCATTACTCTCATGCTCTGACCATGAAGCTTTTCAAAGTTTCATTGTTTGGATAAGCATCTCTAGAGACAAAGCTAAGGAAATGTAGTTCTTTTAACTGGAGATCAAGCAGCAAGCTATTTCCAATGGTGACTGATGAAAAGATTGCTTCAGGGAGAGAACATGTATAAAAACACCAGGACGGACTATCTCTGAATCAGCCGACGGAGAGGCGCCAAGTTGCTTATAAATCCTACCTGCAAAAGTCCACGTGTCAATATTTGGGACAGGAGCTCTCCCCATGCTACTACACTGCATTTCTAGCCATTTCTTCTGTCTTCTTAAGGAGGTCTCATGAAAAGCTTTGACATTGCCTGGTTTTTGCCATGATGCAGTATCGATGTGTCAAGAAGTTTGGCAGGATGAATGAGTTCTTTCTACACAGCACTCTGCTCTTTAGAACAAACACAACATTCTACAGTTTACTGTTATCTGCTTGTATCAGTGCATGAACCATGTCCTTCACAAGGCTGCATAAATACAGACCAAGCAGATAACGGAGCTAATTTTGCCTCCAGACCGCAGTAATGGCTGGACCAGCACCCAGCAAACATTTTTGTTGATATTAACCTTCTGCAAAGAATACAAACTTGCCCTCCTGGAGCAAGTCTCTAAGCCTTACCTTTAAAAATGTATCCAGAGAACCATTTTCCATGTATTCTGTTACTATCATTACAGGTTTGCCTGGAAAAAAAAAACAAACAAGTGTGCAAGATTAGTAGCAATTTATTAAAAACAACAACAACAACAACAAAAATAAAGTCATTTCATAATGATTCTGAATGTGAATATGTAGCCACACAATAGTAAATCTAAACTGAGCAGCCACTGGATCCGCAGGATAATCACACTTCTTGCCCACATATACATAGAGACAGGGGAATTAAGGAAGGGAAGAAAAGATAACCCCAAATCATGGATGGGGAGCAAATCCTAGAGTGTTAAGATGGCTTTTATGAAAGAGGTTACAAGCTGAACTCTGATAGTCCTGACAGCTCCCCCAGCAGAGCGAAAATGCACATGGCAATGGCCTCCCCACTCAGAAGTAACTACACTGCTCCCAACAGGAGCAACCAGAATGATCTAACGTATCTATCTGAGTGTGATAACCATCAAGGCCAGGAAAGGATGGGATTACATCCTGTGTAATTCAAGAAATCCCACGTGACCATCCGTGTAAGTACATCCGAAATATGAAAAGGAATATTAATGCTGCAGGACAAAAGCAAATAAGCATAGAGCAAGTGGCAGTGGAAATTAGGAGGTTTCTGTGTACAAGAAGAACAAAGCAATCAGCCCCCCAGCACGGGATCAGATGCCCTTTCTCCAGCTCCACACTGACCTCTGTGCACCCCACTCCTGGTGGATGTGCTGGGACACCCACTGCTCCCTGGCGCCGGCACGGAGCTCGTACTCCCTCCTTTGGCTACAGCCCAGAGCGGAGGGCACAGCCTGCCATGGGGCAGATGTTGGGTTAACACCAGTGCCGGGTCTGCATGCAGGGAGGCACCAGCAGCCCGACTGCAATTACAATTTCAGGAAACTCTTTGCTGTGCCGATTCCTTTTTGCCTTCCCTAAATAATAACAAGATCTCTTCCCAAGATGTGTACTGTATTGATTCAGTGAAGTGGTTAGAAAAAAAAAAAAAAGGATCAAAACAAAAGTTCTTAACAAAAGACCTGGCCTCCCATTGTTGACAGGAATAATAATGTTTTTCGAAATCCATTTGATTAATTTTCATGCCCGAGTCATTTTAATGGTAATTATATATATAGTTTTTGCTCAGTTTTTATATCTAATTTCTCGCTAGCTTGCCACAGTAGCATAGCAATAATTAATGTGGTGTGCTCCAGCCCTTGTAAATTCAATGAAATCTTATAAGAACATGTAAATTATTTTTTATTTAAATCAATTTGCATTAGCTACTATGAAGCACAGACAAAAGAGGAGCTGTCAGTTATTTGTAAAGTGCATTATAAGTGTCTTTTGTTGAAACGATCAACGAGAGCTGCCACATGTCATAACACACACACGGAGGTAAATGCTCTTAAAATCAGTTCATATTCTACCATTAAGACTGATCTTAATCTTCCCACTTTCCCACTATGTTAACCATTTGCCTAATTTACTGTTTAATTATCTACATAATAAAGATAATTGTGAACTTGTCAATCAGAAGTCTTGCCGTTGTGCAAATCCTACCTATGCAGCAAAAGGGACTTGCACTGCTTCCATTCTTTCAGCTCTTATCGCAGCTATTGTCTGAGCTCAGAGCTTGCCAGAAGTATTATTTTTGAAATGAGAGCTGCACCCTGGGGCCAGGAATAATAATATCATGTGTCCCAAACACTGCAAGCCTTGTCTTCAAGGATGGCAGACTTGAGTCTGTGCAGAGCTCAATGCACAGAATGGACCCTGTGATTGTGGAGGAAAATCCCACGTACATACTCTCTTTTTACACTAAAAAAGCATTCTGGGATCGCATGAACACAGCATGGTGATGTGTGCAGATAGCAGAGCCAGAGAGGGAAGCGCTGGCACTGGTGCCAGGAGAACAGTTGTAGCAAGCCACAAGGATGTGAACCTTGAAATGCACGCCTGCTTCTTCCAAAAAAGTTTGCCCCTGCTCTCAAAAGTGCAGATACCCTTTAAGTTAGTCTTCAAAAGTCACTGGGGTTCTTTTATTTGTTTGGTTTTCAGTGGGGAAAAACAGAAAAGCAGTGAAGTGAAGCTGCTGCTGTTTGACTGTATGTGCGTTGGCAAGGTGTTTCTCTGCATCACTGATGAGTGATTTAAGGTAAAACCTGGGTTCTTTAAGCCTCCTGTCATACAATCTCCACAGAGAGCATGCTGCCATTTCTGATGTGCCCAGTCTAACGAGTTGCTGCAAAGCGACTGCGGGATGGGGCCCTTATCTCTGACACATAAAGGCAGCACTGCAGTGAGACTGGCATCTCATCACCCCACCGCCCCAAGGGACCTCCTGCAGGATCCCACCTTGGGTTTCCATCTGAGGAAATAAAAGAAGATTTCTGCACTTATGTTTCATTACCTGACAGCCGCAGGTTGACACTAATTGTGAAATAAATTAGTCCCATATCCAAGAGCGTGGAAATAAGGACACAAACAGAATAACTTTCAACCAAAGTAAATTAAAAGTAAACACCGGCCCTTTTAATGTGCTGGTCTGATTCTCTGTCAGCAGGGCTCCCTCCCGCTGGTGGTTCGGGGCCATAAAATGCGTGCAGATGTCATTCCTACCCATGTACACATTGTCAGAGCAATGAAATGGAATGCTGATGAAAACGGGACTGTTGCCTCTGTAAAGCAGAAATAGCTAAGGGCTTGTCTGCATGGGCACAATGAAGACAATTAATCCAAATTAACTAAAGGTGGGCATTTGAAGTAATTAGTTAAATGGCATTGAGGCTCTGCATGAATATTCTCATTCAGAATTAAGAACGGTCTAATTCAGTTTCACTTAATTTACTTCCAAAGTAAATCATGATGCATCAAAGATGTTTTACACTAAAATTCTGAATCTACGATAGGGCAGCGACTCAATCACTAAATGGGAAGAGAAGTTAAAAAGTACTCAGAGATAGCATCATAGTCTGGGATTTATAAAGTTGTTTTGGTACAATCAAACTCCATTTGTTCCAAGTCCAATTTAGAAGTTGCTCTGCTCCAGTGACCCCTCCCTGAAAAGCTGCCACAGTTCATATGGAAAACTTCAGTCTACTTTGGAAGATGGACTGGAGAAGAGGTGGGCTGAGTAACTGCTGAGTCTCCTCTCCTCAGGCTCAATAAAGACTGAATTAAATAAGCAAATGTGATGTGTAAAGGAGAACAGCTCCAGCAGCACAAATGGAGGAAGAGCTACTTGAGATACAAGCTGAGGGCTTAGGACCTCAGGAGGGAGACAGCACTCCCAAACAGCCATCCTGGTTCTGGGATTATATCTTTGCAAAGAAAACACCTATAGGCACAGACATGAGAGGGCACTGGCCAGAAGAACTCAGGGCACTGAGTCGGCAGAGCCATCCCCTCAGTTTCTAGGGTTCAGACCCCTGCAGGGAGCCAACAAGTGGATCTACCCTACCTTGGATACCTCAACCTCTGGAAACCTGGGAAAGCGAAGCACTCCTTCCTTCTCTGCACTGTTTTTTTGCCTCATCTTTGAGAAAAGCATCTGAAATCCAGAGCCCCAGTTGTTCAACACAACAGTCAGATCATATGGTTGCACTCACTGCCCTCCTCAGCTCCCCTTTGCCATTTATTCCCAGCTCAGTTTCCAGGACAAATCCGGAGCTCTTAAGCTGTAAAGCCCTCAGCACTACCACAGCCTTTGAATACGACGGCTGCTTTAAGCAAAACCTGCTTGCTGGGGAGCCACATCCTCTCTCTAAGTGAGAATCCCACCCATCTTCAGAGGCCCTGGCAGCCAGAAAGACTCATACCCATGTCAGCAGCAGCTTTTATGGCTGTATGAACATCACTCATTTCCTGCCCAATAGCCCTCATCCCTACAGGGCTAGAAATGAGCACTTTCTGTCCAGAAAAGACTGATGTGGTGAAGGCTCAGCCATTTGCCCTTTCATATTCTCCTAACACATCAAAAGCTTCAGACCTTAAGATGAGCACCCCTCATCCCATACACAAACCTCTCCATTAATTTGGCTCCGGGGGGCTCACAAGTGGACATGCCCCTCAGATCAGGACACACAATAAGGACATACTCCTGGGATAGAACTGTCACACAGGCTGTGGCTCTGAGAAAGCACAAACATTGTTGCCAAATTCATCCTCTACTTTTTCTCCCCTGCCTTTATAAAATTTATTCGTAAGAGAAATTTTTTTTTGTTAATTTTTTTTCTTAGAAGTTTTGGAAAATACAATTTCAAAGAAAAAAGCAAGACAAGGCTGTTGACTGCAAACTAGAATCAATTCAGAGGACGATATGATGATATTAACAGCACAGACAGCCAGTGTCTGCATCTTCTTCATTGTAGCTCTGAGAAAGAACTGAATCTGGAGGAGACGCCCTTAGTGAATGATGGTTGGTACTAACAGCAGCCACGTGCCTCAGATATCAGCATTTCAATGACAGTGGTTACGTTCCAACATTACCAGTCATAAAGGCAAAAGGGGTTTCCACCATTCACACTTGTGAGGCCAGCGTCTCTCAGGCTTGCTAAAAACCTTCCCGAACACTTGAAAAATATTTTTAAACGAAGGAGCTGTTACACACAAAAAAACCTTTGATGCAAATAACAGCCACACTTATTTCTATCTTGCAAATATCGGGCTGAAATAAATCACACTGTGAAATGTTAGAGAGAACCCATAGGTCTGTTTGTGGGAGGACATGCATGCACATTCTCACTCCTCCAGATCCTCTAAAGCTTCCAGTCAGAAGAGCAATGACACCTCTGCACCCTTCCTGCACTCTCATCTCAGCTAACTTCCATTCTTGCTCACATCCCCTGTGAGCAATCACGAGGTCCCACCATGACCCTCTGCCAGCACTTTGCTTCGGTGGCTTCTCAAAATATGATGGCTGGAAATCATTTGGTTTGGCTACCCAGTCTTTTGGCAGCAAAATTCTCTACCTTTCCCTGTCAGGAAAATCGCTTCCTACGTCTCAGCATTTCTTTACTCTCACTGGAGCTCATATGGTTTCAAAAGTAAAGAAAAAAGGGCAGGACTAGGAAGTGAATCTGCTGTAAGCACTGCGAGGAAGCCTCAGTGTCCCAGCATTCAAAATGGTCCCATGTGGACTCATTTCAAGCAGAGGATGCAACCAAATTATTTGGAAGGCAAAAGTCAGTCAGCACGCTCCGCTGGCCCTCAGGCATCCTAACCTTACTCCTGTATTCACCATCTACTCCAACTGCACATGGCCAGGCACATAATCTCCCATTTCATTAACTTTAGATCTTTGAATGGGAATTTTCTCTTAGCTCATGTGTATTATACCTGAGGAGTTAATATTTTCCATCATCTCTGTTTCCAGACCTACCAAATGTGAAATTTCAGGCAAGGGGAGTTTGCTGCTTTTAGAGAAATGATGAAGTGCACACTGACAACTTGAGTTACCCAGTGCTTCGTCCCCTATCTCTCCCATCAGTCAGTGTTCAATGACAGCAGTCTGCAGCAGTCTGCACCTACTTTTTGTGACAACACCTTCCAGGTGGATGATGTTGGGGTGGTCGAACTGCCCCATGATGCTCGCTTCTCCCAGGAAATCTCGCCTTTGCTTCTCTGTGTAGCCCACCTTCAGGGTTTTGATAGCCACTGGAAACTCACGTTTTCCCTGCAGTTTCAGCCGTCCACTGCAGACTTCTCCGAATTCACCTTCAGAAAAATATCAGAAAGTATCACAGTATGCCTAAGGAATGCAGAGCACATATCTGTTTAGGATACTGCCTGTCTTCTACAGAAAGCTAATCAAAAATACCCAGGGCTGTCCCACATTTGTGAATATAAAAAGTAGAACATCACAGCGATAAACGTCACAAACAGCCAGCATAGCACAAGCCATAAACACAAGAAAACTAGGAAGCTGCAAATCTCAGTCTTTTAGAAAGATAACCAGAGCTGAATGTAACATTCCCAGTGACAGATTTGATCCCACTCTAAATGTGAGCTCTTCCAGTACATAATTTTCCTAAATTTAAAGAGCTATGCTCCAAATTCCATTGGGCTTTTTCTCATTTCATGATATTTTTGCCTACTAGATGAAAGACTCCTGTCATATCCTGTATCGATGCTTTGTGTAGATAGCTGTAAAACACAAACCAGTTGCTTCTTAACCTTCCTTTGCTAAGTTGAATAGATGGAATGCTGTTACCCTCTTACAGCAACACATATTTTTATGGACTATGCACTCTTTCCAATTTTACAACTACCTTTTTCTAGAGGTAGCCTAAGTGGTTATTTTTCCTGGTGAACAGTAAATTATCTTTAAAAACACAGTATCAGAGGATGCCAGATACTCCTGCTGTTGGATGTGAATCCAAACAGCTTAATTTGAGCAGAAATGGAAACTTAGTCTTTTAACCATGGAAATTAAATGCTTTGGACTTTGGTTTGTGCTTGTTTTTGCCCTTCTCCCTTTTTAAAAAATCTCAGATGAACTTTCAGTCTTAATTTTTGCTTCAAGACTGACTTTAATCAACAAGGAAAAAAAGATGAAAGTAGTGCAAAAGAATCTGAACATTAAGTGATTAATTTCCCTTAGCATTCATAGAAGTAGCTCAGCTAGGTCCAAACTTGTGTGTTTTCTGCCATTTTTAACTCAGTCACTGAAATTAAAAATTGCAGACAATGGCAGGTTTGTCCCCGGCTTCTACTGAAACAAGGGTATGCTCCACATATCTTGCAGAGTGCCTAACTGCACAAATATTTCACAGCCCTTTTCTGGTTTTTAATGTTATAAACACCAGCCCTCCATGCTGCTAGGGGTCACAAAACACATTTCCATACCAGCTCCAATAACTCTTTCAATGGTTATGCATGAAGCTTCTATTTCCTTGGCAAACTCGTGGACAGCTTGATTAGGATCCTCGTAGGTGTGGGGATCAATGTAGGTTCTTACACCAGGCAGTTTAACTGCAAACACAAATTACAGTGTTAACAGCACGTGACACAGCAGATGAGGATAATGCTCATTCCTATCCCTTGCACTGTCTGCTTTGCCAAAAAACACGGCAGCAGGGAAATCTATTTCTACTGCAAAAATGAACAGATAATGCTTTTTGAATGCTCTCTGAGGATGCCCCATGCTTTGAAACACTGTGCAAGTGAAAGCTTTCAGAAAATGACATTTAGTTTATATGTGACACATGTGCATCTTCATCATATTTAGGAAAACCCATGACAGTGGTCAGCTGGGAAGACAAGCAGCTTAAAGTTCCTCTTGGTGCTGAGCAATGGGCTGGTCCAGGGCTTGGTGCAAACCTGTGCCATCGGGAGACCTAGCTTCATGCCGAGCAACTGTTAGAGAATGCCTGGGTGACCTTGGGCAGGCAGCTCTGCCTTTGCACACTGCAGTGCCTCATCTGTAATTCTCCCCACCACAAAGGTTAATAAAGGCTTTGAGGTGTTTGACAGCACTGGAACAAGCCCTGTAAGCTGGTTATAGCCCAAACAAGCAGCCCTCCTGCAGGAAGGGGACTCCAGGAAGAGGAGTACAAAATGAGGAATGCTGAGCAACAACTTGCAAAGCAAGTCAGATGGATGGCAGTTGATGGAGAGCTGCAATAAGTTATGCCCTACCACTCATATATTAACTAATCAATCAGCCACATTATTTCAGATGGAGTTACTGAAATTTAAATGAACAGAATATTTGCAGTACAAAGCCTGTGGGTTGTACCAGTGTAAATGTAATCAATACCAGGCTTTCTCTACAGGACTCGAGAGGAAAAAAAGTATTTTCATTATCTTTATTATAAGTTTGTTTTGACAATCATTAAGGCTACTCACATGAAGAAATGCTCATCAGTCTAATAAGACAGCTACATTACACAGTGGCTCTTAATTGATTTGCTTCCTGCTGCCTTCATTACATAGCACTAATGGAAATCTGACTTTTGCTCACGATACGTTTGCCTTTTCCACCCCAAAAGGCACTTTACTGTTACACATCCACAGATCCCACAACATTTTATTAAGGAAGGCTTTTTAGATGCTGGCTTTGGAGGTACCAAAGGACTGACAGTAATTGTAATATGTACTTTTCAGCATCACCATAGAGGCTCTTTTATTCAGACCACCTTACAGTCATTAATATGGCATTTCTGGAAGCTTCCTAAGAGTAAGAAGTGAACATTAATTCCTCATGTCTTGCAGAGGTATCCAAAGCAAAAGGTAGCTGTGGGCTCAGTCCTCACAGCCAGCTGTGGGCTGGCTGGAGTGGAGCAAATGTTTACAACAGGTAATCTGTACAGATGCACCCAGTGCACAGACTGAGAGCTGTTACATGCCAGGCCAGGCAAAATTAAAAGCATCTTGAGTCACACTGCGTATCCCAGCACCATGAAACAAAACAAAATGGCTGGCTAGGCTGATCCACTGCAAACAGCATTCTGTTTGCTCCATCCTGGAAAAAGAATGTGCAGGCTTGAATAGGTGGGCACAAATAAGAATTGTTCCAACTCTCACGTCTGCACTCTGTTCTTTGTGTGGCTTGGAGCAGGGGCAGATGGGGACTTACTGAACAACAGAATTATCTGGATTCTTTTGTGAATTAACAGCAAAATGACTTCTGAAAAAAACCTCTCAGTTGTATTTCTCATTACCAGGCAGAGCAAAAAAACACATATATCCATGTTGGAGCTTTACTCACTGTGGCCATTATGAAAATGCATCTTTTCTTCTTCTGGGTCTTGTTTAGCCTTGCTGTAGCCGCACCGCCTGGAAAAAAAAACAAGAACAACAATAAAAAAGAGTGCTTTTGTCTCTGGAATAGCAGAACCCCCCTCGTTACCTCAGTTGGGCAAAGCACAAAAACCCAGAGCAGTGACAAATCCAACCTCTCAAGTGGCCGTTCTGCTGCTGTCCCAGTTTTAGCTCATCAAACTACTTGCAATTTCCCTAATGGGATTCAGGGCCCAAGGCCCACTGACTTTCAATTGGACTTGTGCTTCTAAATCCCACAGATGCCTCTGAAAACTCCATTCTGCCATACATCTAATTTAGCTATTATTATGAAGAAAAAAGCAAGAGCAGGAAGGACAATGGAAGGGGAATGGGATGAAACATTAGAATTGCAGAAATGGGATCTCCTAGTCAACAGAGCTCAAACCCCAGCTTTTGCAGGTACCATCCTGTATGTACTGCACTGTCCCTTTACCCACTGCATTTGCACAGAACTAAACGTTTTTTGGTATTGTAAAAATAGCCTTATGCTAACATAACATGCAAAATGATAGGGCTAAAACAAATAACTGTCTGTTGGTTCACTGCCTTCCAGGGTCTGCTATATACTCCCGGCTCTGACTGGGTTTCCTACACACCTCCTACCTTATATCCAGGGGAGCTACCATTCATGCAATCCCTTCTGACCAGCAGCAAGACAGGTGGAAGGCACACAGTCACTGCCTGACCTATCTTACATCTGCATTACACCAGGCAGTGCAAGGATGCTGCTGGATCCCACAACAGAGCTGTGAACACCACCATATGGGAGTCACGTCTCCCCCAGGGAACCTCCCTACCCGTCTGTGGCTGCCCTGCCCTGACTCAACCTTTGCACTGGTTCTCTAGTGGATGCCACCACACCAGCAGTAAGTGGCTGCTTCGGTGGCATTTCTGAGACCTGCTTCACATCAATAACCACTCTGGAAGCTACAGGGTAACCGCATAGGCAAGGACAGCCACTGTATACACACACATATGTATTTTAAAGTATGGGATGAGCTGTGTAGGATGCACATATATCTGTCATTGTTTTCAAGGACCCAATATAATAACTGGATACAGGAACTGAATCATCCTGAAAGCAAACCACATGGACATGAGACATAGGAACATTCCTTGTAAGAGTGAAAAACCTACAAGCAACGCTCGCAAGCCAGCCAGCACACAGCTGGACAGCTGGTGTTATACCTCCAATAGAAAGCCTCGATTTGCCACTTGAAACTGAGAAACTTGGGAGACTTCTCTTTCATCACCCAGGATTTTGGGACAGGGCATGCACACGCTCCAGCATAACTCACAGCAAGGAAGAGTGTATGATTAGCAGAAACAAAACTGCAATTAGGAGGAGGCAGTAATAGGCATCTGCATGAAACATGCCCTCAGCGTGAAGTCCTATTACTGTGAACTGCTGTCTGCCTGGTTGCAAGGGGCCGAGCAGCCTTTCGGCTATAGGATTTTGGCACCAGATCTGTGAAACGATTAAAAACAAAAGCCTGGTAAGGGGATGCAGGCAGGGCTGCTGGGCTCGGTCTGGCAGCACTGGGCCCCAGAGGGTTGAGAAGGGCAAAGAAATACGAGCTACGTGGTTACTGCCAGGAGGACAGCAGGGATGTGGGCTTACCTCTACAAAAGGGAAGATGTGCCAAGGTGAGACAGGAAAACAGTAGAGGCGAGTAGAGGGCAATGGATTGCTACAAGGTGCAAAAACAAGGGGGGAGTGACTAGCAAAGCAGGGGGGCACAGGCACAAAGATGACAAGGCCTATACACAGAGAGTAATGAGTAAGCAGGCTATCCATGCAGGGTGCAATTTCAGCAGCAGTGACAGAACCACGGCCAAGCAGAGACCATTGTGCTCCAAATGCAAAACCAATGATAGAGGCAAAGAACAGCCCAGAAACACAGCTTGTGGGTTACCCCCACTTTGCTCTTGGCACTGCTCTTCTCCTGGCGCTAGCAGCAGCAGTGCCATTTCCCATGCCGAAACCCTCACAGTAAAGGCCATTTTAAAGGGTATTTTTGTTCTTATGATCCCTGGGTGAAAATGGGTTCTCCTACTTTATCATGCTGTCTTCCCCTGAAAGCCAAACAACTAAAGACAGAAGTCTCGGTATCAGTTCCCACTTCTGGCAATCCCAATGTTTCAGTTCTGCAGGTTGCCACAACTATCAGAATCAGCTTTCTGCAGAACTACCTTTCTGCACTGGGGTGTGCACATAAAGGAGAGGCGTATATTCAAAAACTCAAAATTCCTCAATTCATCCTTGTTCTATTCACCTAAAGCACATATGCCAACATTGGCTTATATGAAATGCAAAAGTTTATTTTGTTCATCTTTTCAAACAAATGTCCTATTTCTTCCTCAGATTTAGAGTGCTTCATTTAAAACATACTTTTCTACCACTACTCTTTTTACTAAATGTATCTCGCTCATCAAGAAGGAGGAGAGAGAGACAGGGAATGTGTGACCACTTGACGTACAGGGTTCTAAGCACACCATAATGCAAAGCACTGTTCTGCCCCACAGGGATACACTTAAAGGACCCATGTAAACAAGTTGGCTTTGGCTGTACCCTCCACAGAACTACCCAGAGAACCAGGCTATGCACATCCTATCTGAGGCTAAACCTCATTTCTTCCATTCTGGACCTTCAGAAATAAGTTTTCTGACTTTCTTCTCTACCTAAATCCCACAAAAACCTGCTATTCCATATTAAAAGTCCTGATTCAGTAAGTGAATCTAACTAGTAAATGAAATTACATAAATATTCTGGTTTTGCAATATGTTTCTTTGATAGAAAAAGCTCCCATTTGATTGGGAAAATAATCAATTTCTGCATGCGTAATTTTTATTGGAAAAACTGCAAGTCTGAAATCTCTTGATGAAGATTCATTCTCCAATTTACTGTCATTATACAAAACAGATTTCCTTCATCTTTTCTGTATCACATACAATGAAAGCAGAAAGACTCTGACACTGCCTCCCACTGTGCTGGAGACGCTCAGCCAAAGAGTTAACGAAATTGAGCAGCACACCTGGATCTCAGCTCATTTACTCCTGTTGTGGATTTGTCCCAGTTTCTGTATCTAGAAAACAGATGTCCTCTTTGCACAGCTCTGTTTTTCAATAAAAGTATCAGAGGAAAAAAGTGAGACTTCAAATATTCTTCAAGCATCATGTCTTATTTAAAAACTACTTGCAGATTGGCAGGCAGCTCATAAAATATTTATGGAGCAGATTATTAGAGTGAAGTTGTAAAATGATCCCTATATAGGTTTATAAAATATAAAACGGACAGGTAGAAAGATGAAGAATCCAGCTGGGAAACCAATGCCCTCTGCCTTGCATGATGCCAACTAATGGAGAAGAATCCTTCCAGTGTTAAGGCAGGAGAATGCTTGCTGTCCCTGGACAGACTGGGATGCTTGCATCTGGCCCAGTACTTCAGAATACCTTTGCTGGGTGGTTTGTGGCTCCTCAGCTGCCTGGTACACCCCCAAAAGCCACAGAATGCCAAAGGGAAGGAGTTTCCATGTCCCTGTCTCAGGCCACTACTCTGGTCAAAATCCATGCACAAAGCCAGGAGACTGTCTCTAAAAGCATCTGGATCTCAGACATTCAAGCCCTGGGTGGTGATATGACAGTCTTTGTGACTTTTTTTTTTTTTTAATTTTACAGTAAAATGCCAAAGCATTTCAGCACATGGCCAAAGCATTACTGTAACATGGGGATAACATTTAGAAATCTTCATTGTGGAGAGGGACCTCACTTTGTTAGGTGCAGCCAATACCATAAAACAGTCCGTGTCTTGAAGCGGCATGCAAACTGCTGTCCCGTTCCTGCAGAGATTCATACACATATTCTGTCTCTTACAGACGAGACAAATGAACGCGCTGCACTTATCTGAAACAGAGATGAACCCCCACTTGCTTTTCAGGGGTCAGACCTTCACTCAGAAGCATTTCTTTTACTGTAAGTCTACTTTAAAGAGTGCGCCCAACCCACCTTACGCTGTCATTTCACAAGAGTTTTGCAAGGACAAAGTTGCTGTTTACAAGGGGTTAGTGCTCAGTTCAGGCAATTTTTTCTAAGATGTTAAAGCAATAAGGCTGCATACGTGTTGCAGGGCAGGACAATGTTCCATCCAGAGGAACAAACAAACAGGGCTCTGTCCATCTGGCCAAGATCCTGTCTCCTCTGCTTGTGTGAAGACAATAGCTAGTAGGACAGATAGTTTTATGCTGATTAAATGATGCTGATATTGAGAGCTAAAGGCAAAAAGCCTTCCTACAGTGATGTTGGTCCACGCCCATAATTCACCTTTGTTGCCTGCAAACCTAAAATGTATTTAGTACCATAAAAACATGGAATGTTCAAGGGACTACTGTAAAATGAACATTTTTTCATACTGAGAGTTGTCTCCTATTTTTCTATCCACTTTCCTCCTGCTTTTTTTTTGATGAGGGAGGTATCTGTAATGAGTTACTTCCATTACACTGGATCAAGCTTTTACCATGAGTAATTTGCAGCAAGACATGTAGCTGGGAATAGCTCAGCTCCTCCTCTACCTACTCTCAAAGACCTATAATTTAGAGAACAAGATTGAAAGAGCAGTAAAAGACTGTGAGACAGCAAGCTATGACCTTCAGTTCAGGTCAAAGACACTCCAGATGAGTGGCCCAAGAGGAACCAGGGCAGGTTCCCTTCCTAAGGGCTGCTTTTCAATTGCTCTCCCCCCTCCACTGTGCAGTCCTGCAGCTGAACTCTGACTAACTTGGATGCCTTACAAAGGAAGTTTTGAAATTCCATTTCAGTATTTTTTGCCTTTAGTCTTTCCCTGCACTGATTTTGCACTGATTGACTCTTTGCTTTCCTAAATCACCACAGAAACAATTAAAAATAAACAAGATACTGTTTCCTTCTCTTGCAGGAAGTGATCTCCATAAATCTCTTTAGAAATGTTGTCATGCCTTCCTATGGCACAGTTGATGACA